CAGGAGGTGGAATCCGCAGGGGTGACATCCGGAGGGGCTCCGAGCCTCCGTTTCCTCTCTGCTCCCATAGCTGCCCCACCTCAGGGTTTGCCATCTGAGGGCTGGGCAGTCTGTGGTGCAGTTGAGTGAGGCAGGTGGTGGGGCCCAGGGCCTTAGGGAGGCCATTGGAAGGAGGTGCTCTGGGACAGAGGGAGAAGCGGGTGGGGAGGGTGGGAGATGCAGAGTGCACACGGGGCACTGTGGTCCTACACAGTGCCATTTCCACATACCGGGACACACGACTTTCTCTGCCTTTGGGGGCTGTGTGAGCCCGTGGGGGTGGGTCCTGGAGTGGGGAAAGAAGTCATGTGGTCGTGCCAGGCAGAATTGTTGGGGTCTTTGGTGAGATCTGTCTCAGGGAAGGGGGGGGCGGAGCTTTCCCACTCCAGAGCAAGTTGGGCAGTGCCTTGTTTTCTGGTAGCCCCACGGCCACCTGGAGAGCCCTCAGCCTGACAAGACAGAACGGCCCTTCCTTCCAGCACTAAGGCCCCACTTGAGGCGAAGAGACAGTGCCAACTTTGGGGTCCTCCACTCAGGTGGAGGCGGCATGGCCTCGGGCTTCAGTAACCCCCAGGCAGATGGGAGCATCCCCTGGCTGTGGGGACCCTCCGTCTGACAGGCAGGGATACCCCTCCTTCTGTCTCACCCAGTGATCTCCAGCTGACCCTCAGGGGCAGAGGCTGCCCATCTGGGCCGAGGCCAGGCCTGTGTGTGCCTGCCCTGCATGGGGACAAAGGGGAGGGCACTTCAGTTCCGGTGGCCAGGGCCCTGGGCCAGGAGACAGGCAAGCGGCATCAGGTACCAGGGCCTAGCAGGGAGGGCGGATCGGCAGCCAGGCAGGCAGCAGGCAGCTGGTTCCGTGGGCAAGTCTGGACCGGCCAGTGGGGAGACTTAGTCAGGTGGAGCAGAGGAAGATTGTGGCTAGGGAGGAGGGGCAGGCCCTGCCTTTTGGGGTGTTCACTGATTCCTTCCAGATACCAACCCACTTTCCCAGCTACCCTGAGGGAGGAGGGGACCCGAAGGATTGTGTTTATACTGGCCCCTGCTCCCCTTTCAGGGACAGCCTCTGAAGGGTTCAATGTCAGCTCCAGGGCCGGGAACCGTTTCAGGAAATGGAATTTGATTCTTGGCTGTACCCCCAGTGCACACACACACCCACGCACATACACTACACATACGTTTCTGGTGTCAACCTGGTGACGCTCCCCGCTCCGTGTCCCAGTGAAATATGCCCTGAGGAAGACTAACTGGGCCCTCCTTGCAGCCCCCAGCCTGGCATCTCCCATTCCGGAAACTGCTGTCAGGACCGGCCAAGGGCTTAGCGGGCTGGAATGCGGGTGGACAAGACTACATCTGGATCTCATCCCCCTGCCCCCACCCCCATCAGAGGGGACTGGAGAGATGGGGAAGCATGCCTGGGACAGCGCGGTCTTCAGCCTCCCTGTCCCTCGGCCAGCCCTGCCCACGGTCACAGACACCCCTCCACACACAACCGTACCTGCAGCCTTGGGGTTGGCTACCCACCCCACCCTGCCCCACTGCAGCTTGTTCAGCCCCCTAGTAGAGAAGAGAAACTGCTTCCCGGTCTAGCGACTTTTCTAGGGTGCCAGAGAACAGAGCCGAGCCAGTCACTCCCTCTCCTTCTGTCACTGAGATGGAGAGGGGCAGGCTGGGGCAGCAAATGGTAGTCCTTTCCCCACTGCCAGCCAGATGGACCTCAGATTCACATCTGGGGGCCTTTGCCCTCCAAAGGTGCTGAAAGGGGAGGCCTTTGAAACCTCTTCAGCCGGAGCTGAGGAGGCCCAGCAGAGGTGGGAAGCACCATCTCCAACTTGGGTGGGCAAGCTGGGGGCTGGGGAGCTCAGTGCCCTCTGCTTTACCTCCGTGGCATGTCCTGTCTGCTCCCCCTCCCTGCCCCGGGTGTGGAAAGTGAGGATAGATGGGCTCGGCAGCCCTGCCCAGACAGGTACCCCCAGGCCGTCAGGAGCCCATGACCCCTGGCACTGCCCCTAGCAGGGTGGCAGAATGGAAAATCCCGCCCACTGGTGCCAGGAAGGGCCGGGCCCCTGCCAGGTAGGCTGGCAATGCCCAGATGGCATGAGAGTACCTGGGTGGGTGGCCAGGCACCACCTCCTTCCCCTGCGGCAGCAGGTAGTACCTACTTTATAGGGTCTCTCTCCATCTGCACCCTGCTCCCTGCCCAGGAGGCTCTGTCTGCTCAGTATAGCCCCGCCTCTGGGTATTGGCCAGCCAGGCCGGCAAACAGAGGCTGAGCCCTGTCCAAGAACTGGAGGGGAGGGGGGACTGGCTGCCCGGCAGCACACGAGCTGGGAGCTCCTCTCCACACCCATCCTGCCCAAGCCCCGAGCTCAGGGCACCAGAGATGGGAAAGGGGGGATAGTGCCAGCTCTCAAAGAGGTGGGGCGGGGACAGGTGCTTCTTTGACCTGACTGAAGCCCCTCACATCTTTTGTTAGAGAAGGTGAGTGTGGTCTTAGGGGGCAAGCTAGGGCCAGAGAGGTTCAAACACTTGGCAGAGGAAAGCCAGCTTGATGCTTTCTCTCTCTCTCTAATCTCTCTCTCTCTCTCTCCTCTCTCT